TAGGATGCACAAATTCCAGGTATAATGTCCTGAGAGAAACCTAATGGAGCTCTGACTAAGTCACTTTTATTTTGTGAATTGTTTATCTTCCCTGAAACTGTGATGACTGACTGAAAATGATTGCAGATAACTCCGGTGTGAGGTTATCAGCTCACGTACTAAAGCACACGCAGCCTGATGCGGTGACCACAAAGAACACTAATGATTAAAACAAATAAATAAATAAATAAAAAAGTGGCAGCGGGTGGAATGAAATTGAATGTAGCTCAAGTGTAGGATTTGCAAACTGAATGACGATCTGAAAATGAGAAAGGATTTGAAATTAAATGGCATGCACACATGCACACAGCACATTTCAGCTTCATGGTTGTCAATGTTTTAAGGACACGGCGCAATTCAAAAACACTTCTCACTTCAAGGAAAATCTGATACACTCTCTCTCAGAACAAAATAAAGGAAGAATCTATAACGTTTAAGAAGCTCTTGCTGAGAGGCCAGTGAGTTGAAACACAATCCAAACCTTTTAACAGAATTAGTTATACTTCCTGTAGCACTGGCCCTATCTGCAGCGCTGCAGAATCCAGTCTTGCAGCAAAACCATGCAAGAGCTCCTCACAAAACAGAAGGGAATCCAATGACTGCCACACACATATACAACATAAACAGAGCCTTACAACGCACACAGAAAACATCACCTAATTACGAATCTGTCTTATAGAAAGACACTACAGGCAAAACCATTGTTTTTACATGTACTGGTAAATTCTGATATTATGGGCTATTTTGTTTCATAATATGCCTTCTTAAAATTAAGACATAACATGTGGAAAGAAAACATCCAAAATGTACATTTATTTGATTTTTTTACATTTTAGCCATTTGCACCTGTAGATTTCAAATACAATACACACTTTTAAAGGCTGTTTTCTCAAAGTGAGTTTTTTTCTCACACACTGTGTCTGAAATCTTCATTTCAGTAGCACTACTTGAACCAAACTTTGCAGTTTTGTTTCTATCTATATTCTTAAGATTTTTACAGGAGTGTTTTCTCATTATAACATCCACCTGATTTATTTGACATTTTATTCTAATATGGTGAATTTTCTGGCGGTGGAAAATATTTTCTGATTGATGGAGTGATAAAAAGAGATGTTCAAAATCCTCCCTCAAGATTTTGAAACTGGCTTTATCCAATGCTCAGACTTCTGTTCTGGAATGTATGCAAATGAGTGCATATTTAATTAGATAGTGCCTCATTTGCATATTAAGACATTACATTTTAGAAAACTTGTCATACAAAACAATTGTCTTAGTGTCCGGAGAATAATAAACTTTTTTTTTACACTATTCACCTGTAGTGTCATGCCTTGAAAATGAAGTATTTTTACTGAAACTGAAGGAATCAACATTCAAATGTAGTTAATTAAAAAGATCTCTCACCGCAAACAGACGAAGAACATTGGCCACCATTATGGACACTGAGCTGGCCGAAGCCCCGATGACCCCTACCACACGCTCTGGTTTTGGGATGATGGGCAGTTCTCCGTTTGAACATCGAACATCTGAGTTGTCCTTCTGGATGAGGGCCTGGACAAAGGTGAGGGACTGTTCCAGTGCGTATGTATCCCTGGAGCACGTGTCCAGTATCCTGGCACCCAGGGTGATGTTAGGCAGCAGGTCTGGGTCACTGTTGATCTGGTCCAGCGCATACAACATGGCCTCCATACGATGGATCCCCTTCTCCTTCTTAATTTCCCCACAAGGAACACCAGCGGGGCCCCTGGAATGAACCGGAAAAAGGCCTCCCAGAGTGATGTCACCCTCGATCTTTATGGAATGAGGCTGAGTTTCTGAGGAGGCCCAGGTTTCTGGAGTAAATCCCATCATCACAACCCACATGACGTGAATCAGGGAGCCCACATGTTGTCCGGGCGCCCCGCTGATCCTGCAGTGATGACATAGTGATGCTGTGTGGTGCTGTGATGTCATAGTTGCTGCCATGCAAGTGTCTGGTTCTTCTACTAAAGCACAATGCTTTCTTCTCTACCTGTGTCTCCTATGGAAAAATTAGTCAGAAGGTGTACATGAAAATATGTATAAAACATACCTTATGACAGCTCTGCTTTGTAGATAGAATGTGTGATAATGCAGCTGAATGTTTGACCTCTTGACCCACACTCACTGATATTATCAAGATTAAATTAAAAACTGCTGAGTAAATCTTTTCAATTAAATATAATTAAATACAAATAAATGTAATTAAATATAATAATTATAGTATATAATATATACTTTATAATATTGTCAAATAATTTGTAGTAAGATTTATAAAGTATATAAATGTTAGTTAATACAGAATAGGAATGAGTTATATTTTGATTAAAGATGTGATCAATTATAATGCCTATTTATATTATTACATTTATATTAATATAATTTTTACAAATACACATTTTTTTCACAACTTACCATTCCATTTATTTATTTAGAATCTTTTAACCCAAGGATTTGGGCTTTGATTTCCATTTTTCCTATTCCATTTGTTCCACCATAAATATTCAACAAAGAATAAAAACTTGACCAAACTTGGTTACACATTCATATACCATGGCACAATGATATTGTAAGGTACTTTAAAAAAAAAAAAAAACATGGTATTGCCATCATAGCACAGTGGCCAAAGACATTATACTACCATGGTCACTTTTTGTAAGGATGCATATTTTTTTTTACATCCTTTATATTTACATATAAAAGCCTACTGACTCCACATTAAAGGAAGTATTAGTTTTTATTTACCGAAATACAGTGCATGTAATGTAATTTTATTATTGATTTCACATTTGAATGAGTATTCTTTAAAGTTATATTTCAAGCTAAAGTCTCTGTCCTCTAGAAAATGAACTCACTTGCACGTCTTCGCACTCAACAGACCGCTGAGAATAAGAGGGCATGTATAGGCACGCATATTAAAATTGTATGTAAATTATCATATTCATACATATTCAGCAACAGGTGAGCGGAAAAAGTGCTATATTTGGATTAAAAGCTGAAGTTCCCGCGGGAAGACACACACGCGCCCGGTTGATTAAGTGTTGAGGGGAACAGCAGCACTAATCCCTCTTCACCATTTATCGCGTTACCTGAATAGACATCTTTACAACATTTTACGCACATTTACATTCAATATACTGACATAAGGATTATTAATTTATTCGCTTCTTAAAAATGCCTCACCGACTGCTGCTGATGCCAGTGTGCGCCCATCTGGAACTGAACTTTGATGGTTTTGAAGCACGACAGTAAACACCACCAGCATCCGAGTCTTCAGCTCTCATCTTAAAATGTCCACAGTCTTCTCACACACAACGACAAGCTAAAGATTCTTTTGACTAAGATGAGATCTTAACGTAGAAAGTATTCAGAGCTTTAGTAAAACATAAAACGCGGGAAAAGGTGGAAATGCCCAAACATTCCACAACTGTGATTCTACAAATCACTGTCAAATCCTTTAAAAGCCCTCTGACTCTGTCTCTTTGCCTCTCTCTCTCTCTCACTTAGTCACTCACTCACCCACTCAGTCTCTCTCTCTCAGTGTGCACTAATGGGCACAGATTGGGATTACCACATGCATGCATTTGAGAACTCTCTGAGAGAGATGGACCGTATATATTTTTAATGTGAACTGCTAGATATAGTTCTCTGCATGCAGACCGTCTGCTTATATATATGCAACAATCTGGTCTCCTCATAATGATTTATATGCTTTGTTTAGTTGACCTCACAGTCACGTGTGTTTTTAAATGGTAGTGTATAGCCTTACTCTAGTCCATAATAGCACCATCACTGAAATACATATGGGCTAATGGCTTTTTACATTCCCAACATACTGACTGACTGTTCACTTTTTGTTCACTGTTCATCTTTTGCTTTATGTTATGAATGAATTGTTCAAATAAATGCGTCATATTTATTACATTTTAAAGCAAACCAGCAATTGAGTGACAAAATATTCCTTGTCCACAGATCATTTAAGGTGCTTGTAATATTTGAATTTATTTATTAGTGTGCTTGCAGATGAATTGAGTTGAAGCATACGGCTATACTATCTGTATTACTATCTGTATGTTTTTACGAGATGTTTCATCTATTATAAATCACAAGGTAGTTATATTTTAATGGGCTGTAGCATTTAATTTCGAATGCTACTAAAGATTTATAACTGTCAATTCAAGTTGTGGGATATAACAATCTGAGGGATCTGAACGTTAAATAAAAATCTAATTGTCTGCATCTTTATAGTCTTGGTATTTGAGACAACAATTTCTATGCAGGCCCTCAAGTTTGTGTTAAAGAAAGAAAGAAAGAAAGAAAGAAAGGGTGAGGTAAAGAAAATGTCTTTTTATAACTTCGTTAACAGACAAAAACAAAAAAATTACAGTAAAATAGTCACAGCTAATTAATTTATTATAATTTTAAACGAATAAAAAATATAAATGCTAGAGACAAAAAATTGTAACTTTATAGTAAAAACTAAAAATGAGTAAAAAGCATACAAGAATATGCACCAAATGTTTTTAAACCAAATAAAATCAAGCGTAGCGTTAGTTCTGGCAGGTCATGTTAGTCAAGCTCGCATCAGCTGACCTTCAGCCTATCCCCATCTACCTATGGGAATACGACACCTATCTAAGCATTCATATATAAGGTCCCTCAGTATTATCAGCAGTTTTCGCATTGCTCAATAGCTAATTACCCTCCCCCATCCCCAACTCCTCCTCTGTCAGTCAGGATCCAGCCTTCTGATTCTCCTTGAATAAGACTAATTCTAAAATGTGTACATAAAATGATTGAACTTTAACAATATCTGCAATACATTTATGTTAGTTCTGTTCACCCTGGGGGGTTATTGCTGCTCTCCCTGCTCTCATCCATGCTAGGATGCATGGAGGCGCAGGGAGTTCTTGCCCAGAACAGAACCATACTACCAATCCAAACTGTATGCTAATTGTCAATCATCTTTGACAATAGTGGTTCTGACAGAACTAATACAACTGCAATCCATGCTATTATCAATACTGCACAAATACATCAAATTAGTACACTCCAAATGCCTCTGTCATTATCATCACTGCTGACTTGTATATCTTCATGAACTCAAAGTGGCATTGTTTCAATTATTACAGAATAACCCTAAAATAACCTACAAAAGTCCCATTTTCTGTACAAACACAAATATGTGATATAAAGTCATTGTTACAAAATGTTTTGTTTTTCTCAGATAAAAAGTTCTGGTTAAACTGTAAGAGGGGTCTGGTCTAGACACAACCACACATTTCAGCCATTTTAAATGTGATCCTACCCCCTAGTGGTACAGAGTGGTAAAACCTCTGGATTGATCAAGTAAAATGCAGAACAGTGTGTCCTCAATACATCTTCGGGACTTATGATAATAAATCATTTAAAATATACCTCATGCTGGGTCTCAGAAACTCTGAGCATAAACTCTTAGCAAAAGTCAAATTTTTAAGCATATGAACCATCCCTGTATATCTCTAGCCCAAAAACACAGACTTCTCCAAGCCGTCCTCTGCCTTGGTGTACTTTAAATGGGATTTAAAATAGCAGCTTTTATATGAAAGGCTATTGCGCACATATTCAAGATAGTCTGGGAATCCTGGACAGATCACATTATCAGCAAGCAGAACTGTGCCTTTCCTTAGCAGACCACAATCCTACAAACAAAGAAGATAGAAAAAGAGAAAAGTAATGTTGGATATTGAGCAAAACCGAGAAGAGAATACTGGCATAGCAGTAAATTCAGAAAATTTTGGACATTTTTGCATTTGGCAGACACTTTATACAAAGCAACTTGCATTCAAGGTACACATTTACATTTATATGACTTTTTGCTTTCTCTGGGAATCGAACCCATGACCTTGACATTTGCTAGTGCCATACTCTACTGTTTGGGCTACAGGAAGAGCCACCATAATCTCTAACTGAGATTGAATGAGATTACAGTGGTCAGAATCAAACACACCTCCATTAATTTTGTGTCAGGGAGGTAACGGTCCTTCCAGTGGTCCAGAAAAACAAAATCAAATGTTTCAATTCCATAGTGCTCCTTCATGCGTGGGATCCAATCTTCAGACGCACCTTCGACAAGCTGGACCTGATGAAGTAAAACATTAGCTCAAAGCATGATAAAGAAGAAATTACTCTTATCCTTTAAATATATAGGCTACAACCATAATGTTCAGATGAATAAGGATTACTGTATGTAAACAATGTGAAATCTGTTTGTGGAGGAACAGGGCCCTTACTTTGTCTTCAAGACCCGCCCAGGCGATTACTTGTCGAGCTATTGCAGCATAATCTGCATTGAACTCCAGTGTTATCAGTCGAGCTCCAGGAGGAAGCAGACGAGCGATGCGCACTGTGGAGTACCCACAATATGTGCCCAACTCTAGGACCTTCTCTGGGCTCAACTCACTCACCACTGAGTCCAGGATAGAGCCTGAGAGTATAGACACACACACACACACACACAAATACGTAAAAGACAGTTACTGGTTAAATCTAAAATTATAGTTGGCTTTGTAAAAATTACACAAATTATTGAATTTGAGTTGAATGGATGCAATACATGCAGATTCCAATAGAAATAAATTTGTATTTCTTCATCTTTAAACGTATTTTGGACATGAAACAGTAAAGTAATTTGTCAGATGCTTTTATTCAGAGGCTAAGCAATAAAGAATATTCACTACCGTTCAAAGGTTAGGGGTCGGTTTTTTCAGTGTTTTTAGGAAGTCCCTTATGCTCGCCAAGACTTTTATTTGATATAAAATACAGCATTTTTTAATATCAAAAATACAGTTCAAAAGTTTGAAAAGGGTAAGATTTTAGTTTTTTTAAGAAGAGTTTTCTGCTCAACAAGGTTGCATTTATGTAATCAAAAATTAAAAGAATTAAAGGTGCTGTATGTAGGATTGACACCGAGTGGTTGAACTAGGTATTGCAGAATACATGCAGATTCCAATAGAAATAAATTTGTATTTCTTCATCTTTAAACGTATTTTGGACATGAAACAGTAAAGTAATTTGTCAGATGCTTTTATTCAGAGGCTAAGCAATAAAGAATATTCACTACCGTTCACAGGTTAGGGGTCGGGTTTTTCAGTGTTTTTAGGAAGTCCCTCATGCTCGCCAAGACTTTTATTTGATATAAAATACAGCATTTTTTAATATCAAAAATACAGTTCAAAAGTTTGAAAAGGGTAAGATTTTAGTTTTTTTAAGAAGAGTTTTCTGCTCAACAAGGTTGCATTTATGTAATCAAAAATTAAAAGAATTAAAGGTGCTGTATGTAGGATTGACACCGAGTGGTTGAACTAGGTATTGCAGTCCAAATTCAAAATATTGGAGAGGGTTTCTTTCACCCGGCCCCTCCTCCTCAGACTTTGACGCACACGCATGTTGCCAGATTGACGACACCAACAGGAATGAGCGCACTAGACGATGAATTAAATGAAATACACTGTTGCCTTGTCCAAATACCCACACTTGTGGTCTTTGCACTTGACCACTTATATGACGTATTTCCTGTATTTGGCCCAAGTGTTCAAGTGAGCATGAAGACCACAAGTGTGTGTCGACCTTTTCATTACCTGATGGGACACACTTGTAGTGTTGTAAAAATGCAAGTGTTTGCATAGCTTTATTTTAATTTTAATTTTAAATACTTTGCATTTTAAAATCAACTTCTAAATGTCTGTTCAGTAGTCCCTATAACGTGACAATTTTAATTTGTGATACTTCTAATTAAGTGATAAAAAGCAGTTGCAAATGTTGTACAAAATAAATAGCACCACTACTCATCTTTTCACCAATAAAACGTAAAAACACTGTTTTTCTACCAAATTATATGTATTATCTAATTATTATATTTAACTTGCATTGGAAAGATTTCCGTGACCTCTAGCGAGATCTCGGCAAAAAGTCTCACGATTTATTTCCAGAACATGATACATGATGGGATACACTAAGCCTCGAATAGCGCTCTGGAGCGGTATTTGAGAAAGTGTGGATTTAGTGTGCTTTAAGGGCACTGTGCTCTGGTGTTTTTAAGGCCTGGGACAGTCTTGCGCACTTACTTTCTGTCGTGCGCACGCGCTCTCAAGTGGCCAAGACCGCAAGTGTGGGTATTTGGACAAGGGGTGTGTTTCCCGCCAACTGGCAACCCGGGGTGCCGAAATACAATTGGGTAAACTGGCAGTGGGCGGGTTTCACAAACCAAAACAGAGACCGACATTCCAGCCAGAAACGCACATTTTCAAAGGAGAATAACTGACTGTAGCATTGTTTTTCAGATAAACAAGTATGTTAACTTAGCATGTTTCTTAAATATCTGCAAACATATTATGGTATTTTTATGCTTTAGTCAAAAACTTACATACAGCACCTTTAAAACAATTTAAAATAACAGTTTTCTTTTTGAATATATGTAAAAAATGTAATTGAATCTATTAAAATGTAATTTATTGGTGTGGTGGCAAAGCTGAAATTTCAGCAGCCATTACTCCAGTCAGTGTCACATGATCCTTTAGAATATGCTGATTTGGTGCTCAAGAAACATTTATTATTATCAACAAAGTTGAAAACAGTTGTGCTGCTTAATATTTACTTGGAAACCATGACACATTTTAGGATTTTCTGATGAATAGAAAGTTTAAAAGAACAGGACTTATTTGAAATATAAATCTTTAGCAACAATGTAAAAGTCTTTACTCACACTTTTGGTCAATTTAATGTGCCAGTGCCAAAAAAAAAAGTATTAATTTTTTTTTTTTTAAACACTTATTGACCTTTAGTTAAGTTACAAAAATTACATATTTTATGAAACCTGTTTTCTTATTTTGGAGCAACCATATTAAAAACAATTCTGAAAAAGATCTTAAACAAAATACATTTTGTTTTGTGTCAACACACATTTTTCTTTCAGATTTTGTCCAAAAATTCTTGGAGAAAAAAAAATCATTTGACATGCGTCTGGAAATAAAGTATAAAAACAGTGCTCTGACCTTTCTCATCTCCAACGTTCATAGCCCATTCACTGTGTCGGCAGAAATGATCAACGGCCGAGATCACACTCTGAGGGTCACCACGGGTTGCACGCTTCTGTACTACTTTCAGCAGACGCTGGTCACAACCAAGAATAAAGAGGTCTGGTGATGACTTTGTTTACTTTATGGGCCTCAAAAGTCTAACATCATTAAACTCCCTCAGTCTTAAGATCCCATTATGCATCCTAGTTGCAGATAAAGGTACACGCTGCGCTGTAATTTTGGTGATAGAAAGCTGTGTTTAGCCAGGACTGACTAAGTCACCTGTGGTCGAGTTGATCTGGTCAGAGTATCAAGAGCCCGCTCAACGATGACATCGTGCCAGATTAACGCCAGACTGCCATTGAACTGCACAGCAGTGGGGATGAGCCAGGAGTACAACACATATAACAGCACTGTGGCCCCGACACACCAGCCCAGCAACATACTAGAGTCAGACACAGATTCATAAACCTTAGTAAACTCATAATACATTTCAAATCAGGTGAAGTGATTTATGTTTTAAGACATTTTCAAATGTAATTTATTCCTGTTATGTCATTACGCCATTACTCCAGTCTTCAGTGTCACATGATCCTTCAGAAATCATTCTAATATGCTGATTTGGTGCTCAAGAAACATTTCTAATTATTATTATCTGTTAAAAACCGTTGTGCTGCTTAATATCTTTGTGGAAACTACACAATTTTTCAGGATTCTTTGATGAATAAAAAGTTCAAAAGAACCGCATTTATGTTATTGTTTTACTGTCACTTTTGATCAATTTAATGCATCTTTGCTGAATAAAAGCATTAATTTCTTTCAAGAAAAAAAAAATCTTACTGAACCCAAACTTTTGAACGGTAGTGTACATGCAATAATACAGCAAGCAATATTAAGAATTATGCCAGCATAAGCAGTTTCTTTTTTTTTTTGTCCATCTCTGCAAGTTTTTGATGTGAGCCATGCTTCACTGAGGTCCTATAATGGACCAATCAGTGAAAAACTGTAAAAATATATATATATATATATTTTAATTAGTAACTAAGCCAGATATTACTGTGCATCCCTTTGAACTGTCTGCATAAATTAAATGTTAAAATAATACAATTCTATCACCTTCCAAGACAGCAGACACATACACTAATGTATCCAATATGATTAGGCTGTTTTGATTACTCTGGTACCGCCTAGGTCTGTACTCCTGCAGGTCATGAGATGAATGTATTTGGAAATGAATGTGCTCATTCAGTGCTGTGATTTCATCTCTCCAGTCATTCTCTCTCTCTCATTTCTTTCAAAAATATTAAATAATCCTACCAACCCCAAACTTTTGAACCACACCAGGATTCACTTCAGTGAAAGAATGAATTGAGAATACATGATGGTTTCCAACTCCACTCCTACTCTGTAAATATCACATGTAGGGATGCACGATATATCGGCCACCATATCGGTATCGGCCGATAAATGCTCATTTTTTCTGTTATCGGTATCGGCCTGATAAGAAAATTTGGCCGATATCTTAAAGCCGATAAATAATGCATTATTTCCTTCAGAGACACTTCAGATGCGTGCTGTTCGTTTGCAGCCTTTTGTGCAATTGTACGTTGTAATATTGTGTTTATTTGATGTATATCTGATTTATCTCATATAGAATGCGTTTGGTTAAGTTAAAAGTTTACGGCTTCAGTTTACCGGTGATCATCTTTAGCTCAGCACACGCAGCTCAAACAGCAGTGCACAACATTAATAACTATGATTGGGAATGTTGTGTATATAACATTCTAATGAGAACATTATTATAATAAAACGTTGTGAATTCTTTGTGTTTAGTTGCTGTGTTTCAGTGCGTTGTTATGGGAAGAGCGCATCCACAACAGGATCACACATTCTGACTATAGCATGCAATAACTGCGTCATTTGTCATTTCATATATAAGTTGTAATATTATGTTTATGTTGTATTAATATTAATGTCAGGATGCATTTCCTTGAGTTAAATAAGCTGCCAGCAAAACGCTTCAGTTTACCGTGTTCATTCAGCTCTTTAGCTTCAGCACGTGCAGCTCAACGGGTGCTATTTAAAACAGTGGTATTTGTTACTTTTTCAAAATCATTGATATATTATTAATAACAACAACCACTTGTATTTTTCTCTTATTATTTTCATCAACAATATGGTTTAGTAATTAAAATCATTTAATTATTGTCCGTGCAGAGGCTATTCCGTTTTATTGATCTATGGCGCATTCATTTTGATTCTTTACACGTGTAATGATGTCCAGTGACTTGTTTGCATTATTTATGCATAATTTTATTTATTTGTAAGACTTTTTTATGACTAAATTTGGTAATGGGAGAGTAAAAATATTTTTAAAACGTACACCGTTCAAACTAGGCTGCTTATGTTGAAGTGTTTGGGATGTGGCTTTTAATGATGAGACCTTTTTTGTAATCAGGCTCTCAAAAAGTATTTAACAATTTGGATATAGATTTATCGGCCAACATATCGGTTATCGGCTTTCAAAAATAAAGAATAATCGGTTATCGGTATCGGCCAAAATTTTCATATCGGTGCATCCCTAATCACATGTATTAAATGTAGGAGCCTTTCTAGACATTTTTGTTGCTATGCATTTTGCTATTTTAAAAACTTAAACACAATTTAAGTGCTAACACAATTTATTCCTGGTAATCTGAATATTTATTTAGCTGCTTTTCGATGATGAGATGTCTTCCTCCATATATACTGTGTATATACAGTGGGTACGGAAAGTATTCAGACCC